AAACGACCATGTACCAAGTGACAGAAAAGTGTCCAGATCTACAGTATCAAAAAGACTCAACGAGAATGGAGTATTTGATCATTTATTGATCAGTTAAAAAAACCTTTACTTTGATCTCCAAATATTGTCAAGAGACTGAAATTTGCTAAAAAGTACAAAAACTGGACTGCTGATGATTGGAAAAGAGTGCTATGGATGGATGAGTCCAAGTTTGAAATATCTGGTTCAAAGTGTAGGTTGTATGTCTGGCAGAAGAAAGGTGAAAGATACTTAGCTCAATGCATAGCACCTATAATGAAGCATGGGGGAAGCAGTGTGATGGTTTGGGGATGTTTTTCTGCTGAGGCAACAAGAAATATTTGCAAAATAGATGGACTAATGGACCAGTGCAAGTAACATAAGATACTGATCCATTACAGTATACCCAATTGTTTGCGTATTATTGGTAAAGGATTCTACTACCAAGAAGATAATGACCCCAAACACTCATCCAACCTATGCAGAAATTACTTAGCTAAAAAAGAAGCTGGAGTCATTCAAATGATGCAATGGCCTCCACAGAGCCCCGATCTCAACCCAAGTGAGCAGATCTGGGATTTGATAGATCAAAAACATGACAAATCAAAAGTTACTTCCAAAGAAACTTTATGGGAGTGTATTAAAGATATTTGGAGTAAAATACCAAAGGACACTTCGATTAAATATGTTGCAACAATGCTTGAAAGACTGTATTCAATTATTAAAGCAAAAGGAGGACACACAAAACGTTAACTGTTTGCTGAACTCAAGCACTTCCACTGAGTTTTTGTTGTACTAAATATGAAGTTTCATAAAATATTAATGTTTCACCTCTGATTTACCTTCCATTGTTCTTTGAAAGTAGCCTGAAATCTAATTTTTGACTGTCCTAACACTTTTGCACAGTACTGTATAAACATGTTTAGATAGACCTAGCACTGTTTGGCTAATTGTACTGCTAATATTAGAGTAGCTAAGGAAATGAATAAAAGTTATTTCACAAAGTTCTTTAGACTTTGCAGTAAAAAAAGTTATTTAAATATTAATTTATAATGAAATATGTGTTTTCATACCATAAGCTAGAATTTTTTACTTTGATCTCCATTCACAACAATAAATTGACTTCTGAACTTCACTTAACTGTGACCTCTGTCTATTAATTAAGAGAATCTTTTTTAAATGTAAACTTCTATCACTTCTCACAAAGGAATTTTATTTATTCTACTGTAAACAAATAACAAACTACTATGAAGAAGCATAGTTAAGACTGTAACCTTCAATTTGTTTGTTAGCATTTTCAAGTTTCTCCTGTTCAAAAGAAAGTCTGTGATCAGTTTTTTAAAAACCTTCATGTCATCAGTAATCGTAGCCATTCCTTTTTGTTTTCACTGTATTAAACCACTCTGGTATTCTTAAATTTGTCTTTTTCCAGTAGTAGTGTTGTAACTTCTACAGATCTTGTTTAATATTTGAAATTCAATGGTAAATAAAAGTTTTTATTTAACAGATGAAGAGGGATGTTTTGATGATGCAGAAGATGATTCTGGAGCAGAATATGATGTGGCAGCAGCAGAGAGAGGAAGAGGACAAGGAGATGGTTCAGTTGGAGATACTTATTATGGTCAAAAATCTTAAGCAAAATTTTGACTATCTTTATCAATTTTTCTGTGACATTTTTTTGATTCAAATAAAAGAAATATAAAGTCTGGAATTGATATTAGTGGTTTTATTCTATGCTTTAAGTTTTATAAACTACATAGCATATAAGAAAAGGGACTGTTGTCATGAGAAGATATTTTGTGTAGTAAGAAAGTTCTTGGTTATGAATATATGTAATCTATAGGTTAGTATGGCTCCTAGCAAGTATACAAATTATTTGTATATTAATGAACAATGACTTTTCGTGACAAGTACATCTTTGGTATTCCAAAATATGGGTATCTCACCCAACTGGTGTTTGTACATAAAACTATTGCATGAAAAGACAAATTTTGTATTTAGTAGGTAACACAGTGATGGTTCATATTGTTTCCTTCATGCACATAGAATCGGATTGTGGTTGAAACTCTTTCCCTTGTGTAAGTGGAATCAGATGGTGGTTGAGTCTTTCTCTCTCATGCACATAGAATCAGCTTGTACTTGAGACTTTTTTCCTTGTGCACTTAGGATTAGATTGTGGTTGATAATGTTTCATCAGTGGATGGAAGTGATATATGACTAGCTTGATTACATGTTCCTAATAGATAAATATGAAATTTTATTCAACAATATTCAACTGACAGGTAAATGTGAAGCCTAAATTTGATTACAATTCTTATTCAACAAATAAATATAAAATTGGTTTGTACTTAATAATATTTAATCAACAGATCAGTAAAGCATTTAATTTTTTATGATGTTTATTAAGAAATGAATACAAATCTGATTTTATGGTAATATTTAGCCAATGAATCAATCTGTGACACTGTTGTATTTGATAAACAAAGCTGTAGAAGATGATTGTGTTAAATTTATTATTTAGGCAGCAGGAGTTTCATTCTAATTAATAATCTTGATTTAAGTGGTAAATGTGTGTGTGTGCGTGGTTCATCAATTAATTAATGTGTTATATTGTGTTTTATGGTATTTAACAGATATGAAGTTGAACTATGCTTGGAATTATTTTATCAATAGATAAACATATGAAATCTGATTGAGCTTGATAATTCTTATACCAACAGATGAATATGGAGAACCAATGGAAGTAGCCCAGTTTGAAGATGTGGATCCAGATCATTGATGTGAAAATACAATATTTAGAAATGAGTGACTTGTTGCTTTCCTTTGTTAGATTCATGAAGTAACAATATACCTCCATTTCTTGTATTGTTGCAGTATAATATTTGTATTGTAATTATCAGAGAGAGTTCCATCTAAAGATGTTTAATCACTGCTTGTAATATCAATTTCCAGCTTAAGCTCAGATTGTAACTTTTGCGTCATTCAAAAATGCATCTTATATTCAAATTTTGCTTGCAATACCAATTTCTCTCCTTAGTTTCTCATTTTTAAATATACAGTTGTAATTAAGAGTACCTTACATTAAGTTTATTAGTGTATGCATAATTATACTGTACACTTCAAAAGTTATGCATTGTACAAGTTTACTGTGATTTTGCTTTTTTGTATCAAAAGCAGCCGTGATTTGTATTAGTCGAACTTGATTATGCTTGAAAATTACTTTTCTTCCTTAAACGATAAATTAAAAACAAATTCAAACCCCAAACAATTTAATAATTAGTTGTTTAAGAATCTTACAGGGTACTTGATTTTTTTAAAGTGTTTTGTAGCTATTATTGGCCTAGAGATTCACAAATTAATGTGCAGGGAGTTTTTGGATTAAAAGACATTGAAGTATATAAAACAGCATATGTGCTAAAAATGTATTCTAATTATAAAGCTTTGTTAGCTTAGTTCTCGACATTTCTTTTTCTTATAAATTTCTTTCATTTTGTAGAAATTTCAAACAAGAAAGGAACTTCAAATTTAGTAATTTTTTTATTTTCTTGGCATTTTTTTGTGATTCTTGGAGATTGTTTATTTTACCATATGTTCTGTTAACATACAAAAAATATTTTCCTCTTCCAAAACTAAAAAGGAATTTTTACAAAATGAGATTAATTAATGATATTATGTCAAAAAAGCATTAGTGAAACCTTGCCTTTTTACCAAACAAAGAATTTAAGAAACTTGACATCCACTTTTTTAAATAACCTACAAGAAAGTAGTAAGTCATCATAACTGGTGGAGACATCATGTTGTTTTTTGCTTTTGTTTGTTGTATGATTATGATTTGACAGCTGAAGATATTATTTTGCAAATTTCTCGTGTTTCTGATGTTGCACTAGTGTGTATGTGGAAAAAAAATTGGCATATTATAACAGAAATTCTTCCAAAATATTTTGAAATGGGTTTTTCCAGATATCTTTGTGAAAAATTACTGTATTTTCTAAAGAATATTATGAACTTTATTTACAGTAATTATCAGTTTAGAGGTGTAACAAGATTCTGTGAAAGAACCATCAAAACCTGAGTTTAGTTTTGTTTAGATTAATGGTGTACTGAAACATCACAGTATACTCATGATGTTTATCATTTTGTGAAAACCAGGAAGTTATAAATTATGTAATAATGTGAACTGTGTCCTCATGCTGTTTCACATGCAGGTTTTTGTTATATACAAAAAAAAAACTGTCCTTGCCACTGGTCTTAATAAAGATCTTCAAATGATCTGATATGTTCAATAGGTTTGACTGGTGAGTAACAAAAACACAAATTAAAAAGCATTATTATTATTATCTGTCACAATATCCTGAATCTGAAAAAGTAATATACTTTGTATCCTGGTTTCAGAATTAATTTTTACTGTATGTGTAGCAAATTTTATTTTGTAAAGTAATGTTCTGTTTATTCAGAAAGCCATATATTATGTTCTTTATCATTCTGCCAGGAACTTTTTCTAAAGAGGTTTTGATGTTATGAAGTTTTTCATTTAAACACTTTGATAATTATTTTGAGTTATATGTATTAAGATGCTATAAATTTTCACTCAGTATTATTAGTACAAAACTACCAAAAATTAAATAGAGATCTGTGAATGTTTTTTGTGACAGACCTCACATTGAAATTTGCAATTATTTTTATAAATTAAAGTATCTAAACAAGGAAGTTTATGGTCTGGCTGATGTTCTGTTGTAAAATGAATACTCTTGTGGTTGGTTTAGAATTACAAAGATGGTGTCCTTTCGAAATAAGGTTTTAGCTAAGGCTAAAAATGAAGTTTCCAATTAAAATGAGTTTAAATTGCAACAGACTGATGCCATAGATCAATCAAGTTAATTTGATTGTAAGTTTGTTATTTAAGTTATGTGTACAAATTCTTTACATTCGTATTATGGGTTTATAGACAGAAATGCGCACAATTAGCATTTTAGTAGCATTTGCTGTGCCATACAGTAGGCCACTGCCATCAAGGTATTTTAGCAAGTAATATGTTATTTTAATTGGTATCAAAATACAGAAAGATCTTCATGTGTAGTGGTATTAATTTGTGTTACTTAGAATTTAATACGATTGTATTCTTATCCAGAAGTAACACTTGATAAAATCCCAAGAATTTTTAAAATTACTTATAATTTGCCTTTCTATTTCTGTGAACTTAGTCACAGAGCTTAAAGTATTTTTTTGATTAATACTGAAAAAATAGTGTAGCTCTCATACTAGCATCTGTTCTCACGTTGTTGTCAAGGTAATAGAAGTACTTTGTTTATCCAATACTCATCTCTTTGGTTTAACGAGACTAAAGGAAACCAGTGAAACTCATTGCAAATAAGCCAAAATTTCTATTTAGTAGAATATATTTGATAGAAACTTGTTGAAACTACAAAGTTAATGTATTGAAAATTATATGTCTTGAAGTTTACTGCCTATTATGTAGATTTCTGGGACACTTAATTATGTATTATTCCATAGCTTTAATTCAATAAGGCAGTGGTAGCTGAAATGTTGTCCATTTAACTAAGTAGAAGATTTCCTAGTAAATTTCTTTCTTTCTCTGTAATGTATTACCTTTCATGATGATTCTAAAGGAACTGTTATATTTTTTTGTTTTCATTTTTATTAATCAGTAAGATTTCAACTGTCATTAATTAATCTTCATTTTTGACTGTTCAATAAGCAAGAAAGTAATAGTTATTGTGGGGAGAGGAGCTGTTGTATTTGAACTCAATTTCTATGTTAAATGAAACAAACTAACATTCGATTAGGAGAATTATGTATCTAAAAATATAAATCTATAGAAAACAGTGAGTTAATAATCATATATAGATATGTCATTAATACAAGCTCACATTCCTCTAAAATTACTAGAATAAGTGATTTTTTTTAATTTATACCAACAATCAAAAAATATATACCTGTGTGATAAAAGTACGTGGATTGTAAAAAGGTAGACATCATGGTGGTTATCTTACTGTTTACCACAAAGCTCATTATTCTAGCTATCGAGTTTTCTAAAAGTAAACAGTTTGATGAAAAAAAGTAGCAGAAATTGTATTCATATTTAATATAAATGTTATTATTTTAAGATGAAATATTTTTAGTTAACCACTAAATTAATGCAAGCAGTTTTAAATAATCCTTTCTTATCCTTATGTTTATTATGAACCATATTTATTCTCATTCTAAAAATCCAACATACTTTTAGGTTCTACTGCACCTTTATTTGTTCTGGAGTTATAATTAATTTTGCAAGTTTAATTTCTGTTGCTGTTATAGCTGTTGCTAAAAATTGACTGCTTTTACATTTATTGTTACTGTTCTAAGTGTTTTTGCTTATACCTTTATAAAAACAATTTCTTATAGTTACAGTTGTTTTTAGTGTTCAATGCTCTTAATAGTTGTGTGCTGTAAATCAGTGTCATTTCCCAAAATAACCTAGTTGGTTATATAGATATTTACATTTAGTGTCAAATTTATAAATTGTCAGCCAGTATCTATTAAGATATTAGCTTAAATTGAAATATTTCAAAACAACATAGCTATTTGTTGAGATAAATGAAATATGATATTCTGTAATATCAAGGAAGTATATGTCTGAACAGTAGTTGGTAATACCCTTGCCAGACGTTTATCATGACAAGGTATGAAAGACTTGCTCCTCAGAAATTATTCTTAATGAGTTTGTCCAGAATACTATTTGTTACAATTTTGTGTTAAATGGAATCTTGCATATGAATAAGGTTTAGTCTTACTATTCATGCTCCTATTGCTTTTCGTGTGTGTGTGTAGAAGCTATGCAACTGTCTTCCACGTGAACAGTAATACTTGTTTATAAAAAGCTGGGTCAGCTAGTTGAAAACTTGATGATTTCTACATAAACCTATAAATACTAAGTATTGTAAGTTGTGTTTTTTTTTTTTCTGTCAGTCAGTACTACTGTGTGTATTTAGTCTCAGGGTCACAATAAACTAGTCTTATTAGGGCCTTAGACTTGAAAAAGACTTTTCAAACATTGTCCTAAAGTCAAAAGAAGAGGCAGAAGTTTGTGAACACTTGCAAAAAGTAATTCCTTTTAGTTTTTGCAAGAACTAGATACTTGTGTGTAAAGATTGTAACTCATTTGAGACTTTCTATAAAATGTATTGCTTTTGCTCTGGTCAGATATATATTTTTTCTTGTCACCTATTCTTAAAGCAATTACTTCAAAATATGCATACCAAATTATAAAAAAAAATATATTTTGTGGTGTAGTTTTTGTGAGGAAGTATAAAAAACAAACATTTTTTACAATTTTCTTGCAGAATTGTGAATCTTAAATTGGATTTTTTCTTAGTAGCCTGCAGCTTAACCTTATGATATAGAACAAATATTTTTTTTTTATGAGAAATGTCCGGAATCAAAAATATTGTTAGAAAGAAAAGTTAAAACGTAATCAGGAAAGTAACAAACGCATACATACGTTACAAGGCATGTTGTGTTGTACAGCTTTCTGAAATTTCTTAAACAGGGATGAAGATAGTAATTAGATGTATACACCATCAATAGGACACATTGTATTGTACAGCTTTCCAAAACAAGGTTTAAAATATTCATGTGACCTGGAAGTGTGAAATATGTTTTATGGGTAAATACGCATTCACTATTTATTCAGAAATGAAAGTTGATAAGTTTCAACATAAGATTAATAAGCAAAGAAGTACTTCTAAGGTACTCCCAAACTACCGATGAAAGTAGCTTTGTTTCCAAGCATATTAGCTTGTTTGAATTAGTGCTTTACAAGTTTTCAATGTAGCAATTAATACTTATTGTTTAAATGATTTGTATTGTGATGTGCATTGTTAACTATTTATTATAGTCATTTTGATATTTTGTTTTTATTGTGCTTCTTTGACACTTTATAGTAATCTTTATCACCAATTTTTTATACTCTTCTGTCAATTCATTGATTTATAATAAAGTGATTCTTACTTCATCTGAAATGATTGCTTCATTCTTTATTCCATTTAGTTCTAACAACCTTGATTTTTGTCGCATTATAAAAGGGTAACATCCCAATTTCTTTCCAATAATTTAACACTAATTGTCAACTGGAAAATCACGCCACTTTTTGGTATTCACAACGACAAAATGAAGTATATTACTTTTTCAGTATAATTAATGTCTTGGCCTCACCTGTTATCAAATAGAATAGTTTTTGTGATATTAAAGTTTCATTCTTACAGCTTTATCAGACGACATACTGCTGTTCGTAAGAAATCTATCTTTTAAATCAGTAATATTACCGAAGTAGATAATTGATTTTTTTTTTTATCAGTTAAGAAAATTTTAATGTATTTTGCTGACACAGTTTTTACTGAATCTCGGTTATTAAATAATTACTACAAGATTAGTGTTAAAAAGTAAACATTTGAAACAAGCAAACTGAGCCAGTAATAACCAATACAGATCATGAAAGGACAGAACAAAGATTGGCCTATTCCATACTTTGTCATAATTGAATGGAAATAAAACCTATTAGATATGTTATTTTCTATTTCAGAATTTTTTGCACAAGCCTACTGAAAGAGCTCTATGTAAAACCGTCCGTAATTTTGAAATGATAGCAGAGAGAAGACAGCAAATAGCACCCACCGTCATTGCGCCAAAGCGTAGGGCGCGTCTTTGCGGTAACGAACCATGAATTCTGAGATTTACTGCCCGACTCCTGGTATGCTATTAAAGCTATAGTCTGGCTCACAGACACACATCCCAAAGAAAGAATAGACCATTCCAAGCTTTTACTTGTTAAACAAATGTTTAAACAACTCTCTTTATTCAACTTCATTGTTATATAATCAACGAAGCAACTACTGTACACAATAATGTATTCTGAAGGACAACTAACATACTCTAGTTTGGTGAGAACTGACTGCTGTACGGCGACACAGTCGTGAACTTCTAAACTTAGATAAAGCGTAAATAAGTTATTTTTGTTATGTAACACTGTCTTATCGTAGTGAAGAAGCTGCGAAACAACATTCGCTTTATAGATACGCCATTGGAAAGGTAGATTAAATCTCTTTTCTTTTTTTTTATAAACTATACGTATTTCATGATGTTGTTTTATTTAATATAAAATTAACCAAGGAGAATGTGTGCACACGTGAAGTATTTGTTGAGATACTACACTAAATAGAAGTATGAGATGATCGTGAAGAATTCTTCTTCTACGCTGGAGCAATATAAATATCTGAATTTAGTTATATCTCTCTATATAAATTATGCAACTTGAAATATACAACTTCTATTTGTTGTGGAGAAATTCAAAACTTCGTTGTTCTTTATTTCATGGAAACCGAAGCTTTACTTGTCAAGTGCGTATACTTGTATAAATATGTACCACACTGACAAATAAGTTTGTCAAGAAAGAATAAGTAAATTTGCAAAAAATAATAAATGTGGAGGAAATTGTCTTGACAATTATCAATTCTTGATTTTTTGCAGGCAGTTTCTTTTTCTAATTACTCCTTGCGAACCACGCATATTTCGAAAGGAAATAGATTATATTTTGTGAGGCCAAATTTTAACTGATTATTATTTTTCTAAACAAAGCTACGAGTATGGTTTCTGACGAAAAACACAACTTTGTAAATAGTGTACTCAATTTTGTTATCCAACTCACTTGACTTTCAAAAATGGAAATTTCTTTCAAAGTATCTGAAAAAAGAAGAAAAAACAATTTCTTTTCTGAATTTTGACACTATGATAAATTAAACATTTGCAATAAGAAAAATATCTATTATAGTAACACTAACTAAAAAACCTGCAAAAACTTTGGTTTCTCATCATGCACAGATGGAACTTTCGAGAGAGTTTGGAAGTAGGAGAGTATACGTTACAACAATGAACAAGTCAAATAGGCCTATTACATTCGTGATGTCAAGCATGACTATCAAATTCGCGATACGATGTGACTGACAAATGTATCATAAAATCGAGACGTTTTTTGTGTTCCAAGAAATTTTCTCGGGACACTGGGAAAAACTATCAAAAAACTGGGACATCTGGTCACTCTACGTTTCTGTAAATTTAACAAACAGAGCATATCTTTGCCATAACTGTGATAAATGTTTGAAGACCTGAAACAAGTGAACACTTGGAGGGTTTAAGGTTATAACAGTCGATGCTTCGTACCGTAATCTAACTTTAATCATCAGTAATTATTTTTATTTAATTATTAAGTCGTCAAGAAATTACTGTCGCGTTTTTTGAGCACTTTCATTAACCACCCCC